TACAGACTCATTTGCTCAGGCTTAGCCTCGTATCAGTGTCTTAGTATTCACAAATACTAACGGTAAAGTAAAGGATGCACAACTTCTACAATACACCACTTTAAAATTCCACGGACCTTCACTGGAACACAGGAATATTCTGTACAAAGTCGAGGCTAACCCTGAGCAACAGAGAACTCAAAACTGGAGTATTCCTCTTGACGATCGGATTACCTGGTGCGCATGTTGCACACTGGGATGCCTATGTACAGAAAGGAGGCGAAGGATCGGGAAATAAGATCCTATTATAAAGAAACCAATTGCTCTTGACAATTTGATAACCGATTGCGCATGTCACGATACCGTTAATTGAATAAGAATGAAACTCAGACACCGTGTTTTAAAAAAGGTTTCAACTATCTTGACACCACGTTTCGGACGTTAGTCCTTCGTCGGAGTAAAARAGCAAACACTGTTACAGAGTGACACCATTGCAATWCTTTACTCACTCCATCTCGGTGGGATGTAACGTGAACACGYGTCTGATGGCCGTGCTTCTTGGTACATCCARCACATGTTRCTWTTGATACAGCAGTCKTCATAYGCCTGTTTATCATCATTCTGGTATTCAGTGGGGTACCTATACTTATGAAACCTGAAATGGAAACAAACACGTTACAATGTTGAGTGGAGAARAGAGGATCAGGGTTWGGGAGAAATGGCTTTAAATAAAAGAGGTGAGAGGTTGAAACAACAGAATATTTAAAAGCCTGTTCATCTCTGCTCAATGTTTGATCCTGTGTGGATTAAAGACGTTCTCCCTTTCTTCCTCCCTTGCTTATCCCTGTCTCCCTTTGTTCGAAGAACAATGAAATTCAAGAATTGCTGGTGGGTCTACTTACCTGTGCGCGTTGCCTCCATCTGGAAAGCCATTTGCCAAAAAGCTAATCCACCACCACCACCCCCACCAGTGCTGTCTTCTCTCAAACTTGTAACAACACTCCTGTCCCCACCCCCATGAGGAAGGAAAGCGGGAGTAGTAACAAATGCGAGGCCAACTCCACGTGGTAAATCTGAATCTTCTATCTCTCCATGCTTGCCATTCACTGCATGGACATGGTTCTAATGACTGTGTAAATGCGCGAGCATCTCCTTGCTGGTAGTACCAGTTCACACATCTAAGCCTGTGGTCCTCTTCTCCTCGTGAGTCTTCAAGACGAAYGAATACTCGTCCTTGCATTCCATTCCCGGTAGCTTGAATGGTTTGGCTGTCAGGGGATTTGAAGATGTTCAATCCTTCTATCTGGTCGATGTCGACGACCATTACGTCACCAGAACTATAGAGTAAGATAATGATAATCATCATCACCATCATCACTATCATCATCGTCATCATCAACATTTCCCAAAATCAATGATATCATGTCTTGAACCTTATAGGACATTGTACGACTCGTTATTCGATTGACACCAAGTTAGTGATAGTTAGAAAGGTATCATTTTATCGATAGTTGCTTTAATTTTC